TTGGATTTACTGAAGAATGACCAAGTGGCAGCAATCATAGGTCCAGAAACATCTCCTGAGGCTCAATTTGTTGTCAATCTTGGGGAGAAAGCTCGAGTTCCAATTGTTTCCTACTCAGCTACGAGCCCTTCACTTTCTCCCACGCAAAACCCGTATTTCATTCGAGCAACACAGGATGACTCCTGCCAAGTACAACCCATTAGTGACCTTATCCAAGCTTTTGGATGGAGAGAAGTTGTACCTGTCTATGTTGCTAATGAATTTGGTGGTGGGATCATACCTTTCTTGGCTGATAAACTGCAAGAGATTGGGACTAACATTCCTTATAGGAGTGTCGTTCCATCTTCTGCCACCGATGATCGAATAGAATTAGAGCTGTACAAGCTGAAATCTATGTCTCCTCGCGTCTTTGTAGTTCATATGGAAGCTTCTCTGGCATCTCGGCTGTTTTTGAAAGCAGAAAAGCTTGGTATGATGAGCAAAGACTATGTATGGATCATCACAAATGTAGTGGCCGATGTCTTGGAATCTTTAGACCCTTTAGTAATTCAGTCAATGCAGGGTGTACTGGGAGTGAAAACTTATGTAACTAGAACAAAAGAGCTGGAAAATTTTACTAATAGATGGAAAATGAAATTTCAGCAAGAAAATCTTGTCCTTAAAAATGTAGGAATGAGCATTGATGGACTTCGGGCTTATGATGCAACTATTGCCCTTGCAAAAGCTGTGGAAGAAGTTGGTACTTCTAACTTTACATTTCAGAGAGCTGACAGTAATGCTGCCAATTCATCAACTGATATCTCTGATATAAGAGTTTCGTTGTTTGGTCCTGAATTACTCCAATCGATATTGAGGTTGAGGTTTAGGGGACTTGTAGGAAGTTTTGATCTAGACAAAGGGCAGCTAAAATGTCCAACTTATCAGCTTATAAATGTAGGGGGCAGTCGAGAGAAGGAAATTAGTTTATGGACTTCAGAAAGCAGCAGTAAACATGCCCTTAATAAGGCTGATCTTGAGTCCATCGTATGGCCTGGGGGCTCTAAGTCTGCTCCCAAAGGTTGGGTAGTTTCACCAAATGGCAAAAGGTTAAAAATTGGTGTTCCCATTAAGATTGGCTTCACTCAATTTGTGAATGTCAGTCAAAATCCTGCCACCAATGAAACAAAAGTTACAGGGTACTGCATCGATGTTTTTGATGCAGTAATGAAAACACTGCCATACTATGTAGCATATGACTACGTCCCTTACACAAATAAAGAAGGCATACCTACTACTAGCTATGATAAACTGGTTTCTCAAGTCTACCTTAAGGTAATGTACAACTTTCGTATGGTTCTGAAAAATATATGACTCATCATTGGGACTCATCATTTTTTTCATTTGGTAAAGTAATATGCAACCATAATTTGCTAATATATATATGATGTATTTTCTCTGTTTACAGAACTTTGATGCAGTGGTAGGAGATGTAACAATCCGAGCAAAAAGGTCGTTGCAAGTTGATTTTACTTTGCCCTATACTGATTCTGGTGTCGTAATGGTAGTACCTATGAAAAGCAATCACAAAATACGGGCTTGGCTCTTTCTTAAACCCCTGACAAGGGATTTATGGGTTGTAACCTTCTGTTCCTTTATCTTCATTGCATTTGTAGTTTGGGTGCTTGAACATCGAATAAACGAAGATTTCAGAGGACCACCAGGGCATCAGGCTGGAACAAGTCTATATTACTCCTTCTCAACATTGGTTTTCTCACACAGTCAGTATATCTTCCCATGTTTCACATCACAAATCTATATTCTTTACAAATCATCTAAATAAGTTTTCAGGAACTGAAGTCTGCTTCTTCTGCAATTTTACAGGTTTTAATGTGTTCAGCAACCTGACAAGGTTTGTGGTGATTATTTGGGTTTTTGTGGTGCTCATCCTTATACAAAGCTACACCGCCAACTTGGCTTCATTGCTGACAGTGGAACAGCTTCAACCCACGATTACAGACGTTAAGGAGCTGATAAAAGGAGGAGAAAAGGCAGGGTTTCAAGAAGGTTCCTTTGTTAAGGATTCTCTAAAAGACATGAACTTTAGTCCCTCAAACCTAAAGCCCTATAATACGACAGAGCAGTTGCATGAACTTTTAGAAAAGGGGAAACATAAAGGAGGCATTGCAGCAGCATTTGATGAACTTCCATATGTAAAGATTTTTCTTGCAGAATATGGCTCTAGATATACCATGGTTCCGCCAACATATAAGACCGATGGCTTTGGATTTGTAAGCCTGCACACGCCTTCTCTGTCTGATCTGTATGTCTCTTTTTCACTAGCTTGAACGTTAATTTTGATGCTCGCTCCTTGCCTGCAGGTTTTTCCCAAAGGTTCTCCTCTTGGATCAGATGTCTCCCGCGGAGTGCTAGCTATAACAGAGGGAAAAGATATGACAACATTGGAGAAGAAGTGGTTTAAGGATACAGATTGCCAAGATTTGAGTGCATCATTGTCTTCAACTAGCCTTGGTCTTGACAGCTTTTGGGGCTTATTTACAATCGCACTGGCTGCAGCGTTGTTTGCTCTCATCATATCCTTGGCAGGCTTCCTTAAAGAACATAGAAATGTATGGACTGATAGTAGTGCCTCAGTTTGGACTAGAGTTAAAACATTGATGAGGGTTTACGACCAAAAGAACCTCAGCTCCCATACTTTCAGAAAAACTCCACCACAAGATCAAAATTTTCTCGGTACACCATCAAATAGTCCATCAAGGTATTGTAATAATTCAGAAAGAGGTTTAGATAATTATGAAGGACAACCAACTCCTGTCAGAGAAAACAGACATTAACTCGGAAAATGTAAAGGTTACAGCTAACGAACATGCTCAAGTTGAGTTAGAAATAAACAAACCTATAAACATAGATAAAGGCATGTTGCCAGAATAAAACTTTTGTGAAGGTAATAGACTGATATAGGTCATTCAGGTTTGTGTGGAGAGATCATGTAAACTTGTAAAGTACGACCGACTGATTTAATGTAAATATGATTCTTAGACTTTGTACATGACCTGCCTTATCAGTAAACATGTTATCCTTTGAGAAGAAAAAGACCTCCGAAAACTTGATTTTATGCTTAGGCAATATGACATAAAATTATGTCTAACATATATGTAAGCTATTGATTTTGTACAACTTTCCGCTGGTTTATATGAAATAATATAAGCAACTTAATCACTATATTTTTATTTTTATTTTAAATTGAAGGATTAAAATGGTTCTGTTTGGACGCTATCTGTTAAAGTCCTCTTTAATGTTTTACTGCCATTGCTCCTGTTCCTATGTGACCGTAAAAGTTAACTAATTAGAACTTCAAAGTTCAAACAGATTACTCTTCTCACACTATTATCAAGAATTGTGCAGTTGCCTTCTTCCTGATTCATGCAACTTTTTCTTTCGAAATATGCTGAGTTTACCAATTTAATCTAAAATGATTCTACCCCTTTAAAAAAAGCAAAAACATGGGACCAGAAGCACAGAAAAAATAAAAATCTTTGATGCTTAAGTATTGAGATAGCACTAAGGGGGTAAAAAATGAAGGGTTAATCAGTTAAGCTAATTTTGAATTTATGTCCATTCTTTTTGCTTGAAAGTAGCAATTTGGTTACACACAGAATTACATATTGTTTGTATTTTGGTTTGCGTATTCCTATCAATTTCAGCTGCATAGTTTCAGTTTTCGCTTTCAACGAGAAGAAAGATTTATAATGAGTTGGATTTGGTACCAGGGAAGAATCAAAGCATTTGACTAATAACAGATAAAAATCAAACCTCTTCCATAGTTATTGTCCTATAGTTGGAACGTAAACACATTTGAATCAAAAGTCAAACAGTATTACGTCTCAACTTGGTTTAGTACTTCTGTTCTAATGACTGTATGGACAGCTTAAGAGGACCTCAGTAAATATGCTAAAAAGGTCATAGTCGTCGAAAATTGATCACTAGTCCTTGTCTAATCTTCTAGATCAAGAGTAGTCCATTATTGTATTTTTGCAGGCTTGTACTACAGAAAGGTAAATGCAAGTTAGTATGCACTTCACATCTCTAATTTTAATTGTTACACAAATGAAAATGTGAGTTATTTAGTATTAATGTTAAAGGTTGTTGTCCCTTCTTGTTAGCAGGAGTGATGTATTAGCTTGGATAGATTTGTTGTGATCATTTGGAACTTTGTAGTGTTTATATTGACTCAAAGCTACACTGCCATTTTGACTTTTATGTTAACTGTTCAACAGTTGTAGCCTAGTCTTACAGACTTACATAAGCTAATAAGCAAAGGGGCTTATGTTGGGTTTCAAGAGTTCAGGGACTCTTAAAACAGAAGGGTTTTCATGAATCAAAACTCGTTTCCTACAACAAATTAGAGCATTTAGGCAACCTTTTATCAAATGGTAGCACAAATTGGGGCATCGCTGCTGTTTTCGATGAAACCCCCTATCTGAAGCTTTTCCTTACAAAATTTTCCTCAAAATATCTAATGCTTCAACCTATTTAAAACGCAAAATGCTTTGGATTCGTAAGTCCTTCCTTTAAAATACGTACATTTAATCCATTAAGGCTCTGTGTTTTATTGCCTTTTTATTATTAAAAGACTAAACTAAAACATATCTACTGATTGAACTTATCAAAACTGATTTGCACAGATTATAACTGGTTTTCACTAATAAAATCTGATGCTTATTGGTTAAAAATGATGTTTTCTGAATTGATGAGTTGAGCACAGGGTTTACAGATAAGTATTGGATATTACAACTAATTTAAATCGAATTTTACCAAACACTGTAAAGCAGTTTAAAGTTTAAGAGAACAGGGCTTAGAATGAATATCACTACATCAGATGTTCATTACCTCACAAACATTATTTGGCTTGTAGGAATTCCTAAAGGTTCTTATATTAGTCCTAAATGTAATAATGTATGTGACTATTCAGAGCTAAAACTCATAAAACCGCTTTGACGCAATTTCCAACCCATTCAGCTTAGCTGCAAACTTTTATTTCTTTCCCACCAGTAAAAGAATTGGCAAAAAAATTTACAGAAGATGCTCATTCCTAAAAACATGATACATTTGGTTACAAAAATTTCCTAAAAAGAAAGACATTTTACTTCTGTACAGATGAATGAATATACAAGAAGATATCACGGCAAATACTGCTGAAGGCACTCTTTTAACTTTTGGAATGTAACAGGCTTTGACACAAACGAATCCATACCATTCGCAAAGCACTCATCTGCACTCTCTGATAATGCATTTGCTGTCATCTGCACTCATCAAATCAAATAAAAAAAATAAAAAAATAAAAATTTATATCGTATGCAGGCTATAATTATCTGCAATACAACTAAATATAACAAGAAACACTAATATGTGATTTCATCTCTAAACTGCATGGTTCAAGTCCTGCATAAGAGAGATAATGATCCAAACTGAGCTAGAGATTTGGGTAGCTTGCTCGACTCAAACCAAGTCAAATCCATTTTTTAGTTCAGAAAACTTCAGACTTGGGCTGGCTCGTGACTCAGAAAAAATTCCACCTATGATATCATCCATATTTCTGACCTATAATATATACCTAGTATTATTTACTCACAAGTCACTTTTTTAATTTTCATTTGACAAATACATTTAAACCTGCACTTTGCATGCTAGCATTTCAAACTCTGCTCGATCAGATGAATTCAGTTGAGTTTAGAGCTGAGCTTTGACTGAATTCTGAATGGCCTGAGCTTGAGTAGCTTTTTAACAGAATAGACTCATTAAAACCCTTTAAGTATCGTGCATACTCTCGACATTTCTCAGTATATTTAAGTCAATCTATTTGTTTTTGGTGAAAAGGTATGAGGCTATGAGCCTACCAGGAGCTTTTTACATTAGAAAATCTTTACAATAAAAAGTTTGGTCTATTATTGCAAATCAAGATACAGGGTTCATTTTTAACAACAATGATCTACAAGCAATTGTGCAATGTAGTCTAAACTCTACAGAACATACTAAATTGCAATCTCAAGGACCTTGAAAAGTTGAAATTACTAATGCTTACCGCAATAATTGGAATTCTCTTTGATGAATCATGAAAATTTAATGGTGAATTCTGAAAATGCATAGGTTGATCAATTCCTGCCTCCATAGCAGCATCCCAACTGCCAGACTCTTCGTAAGAACGAATGATCCTTGTAGCTTGAAGTCCATCCATCACTGGCATGCACACATCCTGCAGATATTGCTTGTGTCAATCAAACCAAACTTATGCTTTGCAATTATTGGCTTACTCTCTAACTGTATTACAATAATATATTTCTTAAGAAGAATGACTTATGCTAAAATGAACAGAATACTGAAGATAAATCTATTTGATATGATCAACATACTGTTAGATGTATGTTTCCTTGTATACTTCTATTGATTGAATGGGAATACATATTTCCTTTTGGGATTTTCTTCTTTATTCTGCCCTTGTTCTTTTTCTTCCCTTACCTACCATTTGGCGATCAGGAATAGTGCAATTTTTTTATGTGAACTATCCTTAGAGTAACATATCCTACTTTATTAGGGTAACAAAGAAAAAGAAAGTACGACAAAGCAATCTTCATAATGCTATTACAAGAGGAGACGCAAATAGAAGAAGTCAGAGTTACATTACCATCAAAACAAGGTCATAAGTATGATTTTGAACAGCACGAATGGCCTCAATTCCATTATTAACAACGTCTATGCTGTGACCCAATCGTTTCATCATGGATGTTGTCACCACCACATTGATCTTATTGTCTTCTACAAGGAGAATTTTAGGCTTTTCCTCAGCTCTATTTACGTCAGGCACGCTGCTTGCAGTACTCTGCAGACTTGTATCACGATTCTGCATCATCCGTTGTTCATCTTGAGGGTCGTGTAACGTCTTTTCCACTTGGCCCCCAATTACACTAGATCCAGCTTCCATATCCAATGATCTTAGGTTTTCACCAATATTCCTTTCATCTCCAACATACTGATCATTTCTACCACTTATTTCAGCAGCGGCATTATCACCACTGTTCCTCGAAGAACTTTCATGTGATCCCTGCTCAGTTTTCAACTCCTTTGGAGTAGCATGAGTAGGAGACAATGAAGCTAAATTTTCTGACACTGGGTTGATGTCAGGCATCATACTATATCCATAATTATTTTGTAATATATTTTGGCCTCTGCTTTCTCCACTGAGAGATAACATAGAAGAACTCAATGTCCGAGGCTGGAATTGGAAAAATCCATCAGTATGATCATTAGTGGCTGTTGCATCATGATGAGTAGAAGCATCTGGAAGCTCATCAGGATCATCAGACTGGTCGTCGGATTCAGGAGATACCCTGTATGGGAGTACAAATGTGAATGTTGATCCACAATGCTCTTTGCTGGATACCGTCATATGACCACCCATTAGCTCAACCTGTGCACAGAAAGCAAATCAACATTTTTCTGGGCATCTGCAAATTATCAGAGTTGATACCAATAGCGTGACTGAAGTTCTGCAGTTGTTATTAAGTAATATAACTACTGGGAGTGGGATTAAAGTAACAGTTTCAGGGCTTCCCCAAATTATTAAAGAGCTTGAGATTGATTCAGGGAAATATCAATACTACTTTAAAAGGAAAGATAATTATATAATGTATTGTAGAATCAGAATTTACCAGTTGTTTGCATATGGCTAAGCCTAGTCCAGTTCCACCATACTTACGAGCATGATCAGCACTGGCTTGCATATATTTTTTGAATAAAGTGGGCAAAGCGTGCTCTGTCAACCACGAGATCAAATGAGAAAAAAAATTATTATACAACTTTAGCTCTAGTCAATATTACATATAATGAATTAATGATACACCCTTAGCTATGACTGCTGGAACTGAAAATTGACATTAAGTGGTTACGAAAAGAATTAATAATCAAACCTGGAATTCCTATTCCAGTGTCATATACATCACAGCGTATCCATACTGTTGTTGGAAATATAATGGGATGCCTATCTTCATCTTTTGATTGTGATTCTCCTCTCTTGAATGGCATTCCAGACTCATCCGAAGTTTTATGAGCTTCAGAAGGATCATCTCCATATGGATGATCAGAATCACCTTTTTCATCGGTGGCAGTATAGGTTTCGAGTCTTTCAACAGGATGGTGATCTTCTTCAGCAGAATAAGGCGCTGGTACTATATAAAGTCTTATGCCAACTTTACCTTCATGCGTAAATTTAATGGCATTGCTGCAGTAGAATTACAAATTAAAATTAGAAATATGTATCTTTTGAGCCATAAAAGGTCAAATTTTAAACTTGACACGATTTCCTAATCTACCAGAGAAGCTGTATGCTGAACAGAGAAAAAATGACAGATAGTGCAAGGTGCGCTCTTTATATACCTGACTAGATTAGTGAGAATTTGTCGAATTCTAAGAACATCTCCAATCACCTAAAAGAGATACAGTAAGAAAGTATTGTCAGATGGTTTGCATGCAAATATATGAGGTTGTTTCTATAGTTTTGACAATAGCCTAAAGTTTCCGCATCAGCAGGTTTAACAATAATATTAACCAGATGCCTCTACATAGGCAACAGCTTAGGAAAGGGTGACGGGGTTGGTGGGCATCATATGTAACTATGTAAGCAGCTTATATACACCACTTGGTGTTTATTGTTGTATATTTGAATTGATTGATGCAACCTCTGACATCAGGAAACCTGGACTGAAATAGCATGGTAAAATTAAAGCACTGCAGGGCCCAAAGTTATGAATCTAAAATCTTTCCTATATTGTATTATTGAGTTGAAGCCAGGAAACTATTGGAGAAGATTGGTACAAATCTACAAATGATCTGATCCAGACCCATAAACTGCAGGGATGGTTTATCAGTGTGAAGACTGAAAATCCTATCACTCTTGAGATGAACTTTACTTAGATAAGCACATAGAATTGAAATGCATGTCAAGTGCAGAATACAAGCTGATTTTTTTATTCGATGGTAAGAAAATGATCTCACCTCTATAGGAACATCTTCTGCTATATATCCTTCCAACGTCAGCATTTTCTTCAAAGAGGCTGCAGCTGTCTGGAGTACATGCCTTACAACTTCTCTTGGTCGGAACTTGGTAGCTTCCAACCTCATAACACCTGAAACCCGATTATAAATATCAGAAGAATGAAAATTTTTGGTATTCAGATAAACAGTCAATAAAATTAAAAGCTTAAACCAGCCCTCGTAGAATTCTGATTAACATCAAGGTCAACAATATCAAACCTGACTCAACCTTGGAGAGATCAAGGATGTCATTGATGAGCTGAAGGACCAAATCCCCTGAAGAAATCATGACATCTAACAATTGTCGTTGTTCCTTGTCCAGTCTAGTGGTGGCTAGAACCTCGGCCATGCTAACAACGCCAGATAATGGTGACCGTATCTCATGAGACATAGTGGCAAGCATTTGCTTTGCCCGCATAGTTTCCTCTAAGAAATGACAGAAAGCATCTTTTAGTAAACTCCATGTGCCAAAGAGAAGCTATAACTCATGAATCACTTAAACTCCAACCAAACCTGTAATATGTATCGTCTTATTCAGCTCAGTCTCCATGGCTATCTGTACAGCTATCGTCTCTCGAAGCTTTGCCATCTTCTCTCTTTTTCTGACCTGTTGAAAAATTGGACACCCTATAAGGCACAATTTGGGATACCGCTATTCAGACATTACTTGTAATAGCCTTTTGAGCCTTGTATCCATCAAAATTTAGAGGCATAATATTGAAATAAGACCTGACCTGATCTGTAATATCCATTCCAATGTAATTGACACCAATGGTCTCTCCTGCCTTATTAGGCACAGGCTCCACATATATCAAAAAGGTTTTTGACCCAAAAAGTTCAGTTTCAAATGTTATTTCTCTCTTTCCGGGTAGTCCACGTTCTAAGATTTCTCGCTTGAAGTCTAGAGACTCCTTTACTCCAGCACCAGTAAAGATCTCCGTATCCGTTTTTCCTATAATATCCTGAAAAAATCAGGTAAGTTGAGGAATGCCATATCGTTTTCCAATGAAAAGATGCTTTGAAAAAAAGGGAAGATAGAATTACACAGTCCTCGTTTGCAGAATTATTGAGGACGAAGCTAGCTTTAAGGCACTAATTTTTACAAGCACACCAAAGTCTTACCTCCTCTTTAAAACTTGGGTAGGGATTGTAGATAAAACGGTACCGCAGCTCTTTATCCTGAAACAAATGCACATGATGAAAGCATCAATGCAATTGCTCACCCAGACATAGAAAGGGCAGTCCTAGAGAAGTGAATGAATGGGATATAGCATATCATTTCCAGCCTTACCATATGACCAAGAACAATAGGTGCATTTTGAAGAATGATTTGTATAAAGTTATCTGCTCTTTTAAGCATCTGTGACAATTCTTCCACTGGCGTGGATTGTTGCTCCATATTCTTGATGCTTTCGTCCAGCTTTTCCAAGAGAATCTGCTCCCTCTGCCTGCTTTCCTTCAACAAATTCTCGAGGATCGCAGCCCTTTGTTTCCAATACACTATGGTGTCATACTCAGCATCTATTTCGAGTCCTTTATGACTTTCAACAGGTGAATCACATTTCTTCTTAGGAACAACCTTGTAGGAACCATAGAGCTCCTCCAATACAGAAACAGAATATCTGTCGGCCCCAACTCGTTCTTCCTCAAAACGATGCTCCTCTAAAATCTCCAATCTCTTAAGCTCAACCTCCTCTCTTTGCTTGCTGAGGCGATCAAGCTCTTCTCTGAGAAGGCGAGCAGCATTCTGTTGCTTATACTCCCATTGCTTCATAAGATTGGCCAGTTGAGAGCCACCCTTATCAGTGTCTACTATCATGTCATGGAGAAGCTCCAAATCAATTTTTTGAGGCCCCCCCGCGTTAACTGCTACTTCTTTCAACATATCTTGATCCTCCTTCGGCCAATCCACATTGAATTGACTCCCGGCTTCATTTACATTATCCGGCCACATCGGATTAAGGGCCTCCTCAACATCCATATGGTCATCCACTATTATTTGATCCTCCATAATAACAATAATCCCTACTATTACTTTACAATTCTATAAACCCTTGTTTCAATTTAATGTATTACTGTTCTTACAACAACATACAGTCTTTCTTCATTGTTTTCCTAGAAAAGGGTTTTTCAATCCACCAAGATCCAATTATAAGCACAAAACAACCAGAATTCTGCTGTCACAACACATCAAACAACAACATAATTTCATCAAATTAAATTAAACTACTTGCAGTATTATAACAATCAATATAGTAAACATTCTTTAAGAAAAAAAAATAATCATCAACTCAGGTAAATATTTATAATTTTATTATATGCTTTAATATACTCCCCTTTTTGGAAAAAGAATGAAAAAGGGAAATTGGGATGAAAGTACCCCACTTAAACTGAAACAACAAAGTAATTGAAACAGACTGTTTAATCCATATAAATGCTGCATAACTTAAACCCACCATTATTTGAATTTTAATCAAATAATTTGATATAAATATTGGAAAATTGATTGAGCAATGGAAAAAAGTTGAAATTTTTACAAATATTACAAGATTAATACTAAAAAATTGCAAAAATTTAAAGATAAATCTAGAATCATGAAATAATCCTATAATTTAAAACAAAAAAAAAAATATATATATATATATATATGTATATATATGTATGAAGATTGCCCACCAAAAATGTTGGACATTGATCAGTACCGAACCACCCCAAAATAAAAATTAAGACCAAAAATTTAGGAATTAAATAAGATGAGAAAAAGTAAGAAAAAACTAACCTGGGAATTGGGATAAATGATGACACAAAATAAAATCTGAGAAAGTTTATGAATTTAGGAAGAGCAATAATAAAAACAATAATACGGAGTAATAATAAAATAAAAACAGAATTAATAATATTGTTGGCAGGTGAAATAATGGAAGAAGAAGAAGAAGAAAAGGAAGAGACTTTTAATAGGAATATGAATATGAATAAGGGGGGGTGTATTAGATCTGAGAGTTTGTCATAAACATGTCTTGAAATCATCAGTCAATTAACCAGAGAAAAAACTATAATAGGATTAACAAAGATAATAATAATAATAATAATAATAATAATAATAAAACATTTTAATAACATATATTATAAATTATGAATGTATGTAGTAGTACTAAGTCCAATCTGTAAGTAAGAGAGAGAAAATATAAGTAATTATAAAATCAGAGCTAAAGAGGAGCCATGTGCCTTTGTGAAGAGGAGGTCAATTTTTTGTTTTTAATTTTTTTTTTTTTTTTTTTTTGGTGGGGGGGGGGGGGTTTATTTCCATTGTTTAATGTCTGCAACAACTCACACACACTCTGAGTAGTTTTTGTGCAGCCGAAAAGTAGTTTTTTCTGAGAATCTGATGAACTCTGAATTCAATAATTTGATTAAGAATGAAATGAAATAAAAATAACCAATGTTTTTATATTTTGATGTTTGTATATGAAATGAATGACATGCAGATAATAAGATTTGACTGCGCTATGCTTCACTTTGGTTTATGTTGTAGGGAAGAACATAAAGTGGAGAAAGAAAGAGAAATTCATATGAATTGTATTCCCGGCTATTTCAATTTCCAAGGTAGTGTTCACGTATTGCTACGCGCCTTTGTGTTCCGGCATTGATACACACTTGTCCTTTAAAGGGAGGGAAGGTAGAGTTGTCAAAAACTGACTCTTTCCAAACCTAACTATGATTTGCTCTAATTGATTCGAGCATTCAATATCCAAATAGACTCGATAATTGTTAGGAGTATATGTAAATGTATTTACACAACTAAAGAAAATCAAATTCATAATTTTTAACTAGATTAGTCCACCATATATTAACTTAGCTCAAAACTCGTTTAAAATTGAGCACAAACAAGGTCATGGGTAGTAGACCTTGTAATTAAACGGGCCAAGGAAAAGTTGGGCTCATGCATAGATGCCAAAACCACATTTTGTGAAATGTTGGTTGGCCATCTCAATAATTTTTAGATATTTAGGAGTCAGTTTGTCATTCAATCATTGAGTTTGGAAAATGATGTTTACCATACTCTCATGTCATGTCAAGCTTACGATAAGATTGTGTGAAGTCGAACTAATTTTGTATTGGGTCGAAACAACCTTCATGCCTATCAAGCTCATGCCCAACTCTAACCTAGCTAGTTATCAAAACTATCTAATTTCCCAAATTAAATTCAGCCTAACGACCAATATTAATCGAGTTGCCCATTTTTGTTTACATTGATTAATAATTAATCAAAGAACTTTAAATTAATTTTTTTTAACCATATTTTTGTTTTTGTTTTTTTTTTTTTTAACAGGTGTAACCATATTAACAGAATAATACATATCTCAATTTTGTAGTTTTTTCACTTAATCAAAATTCATAATAAAAAAATATATCAATAATTTACTCAAATTGTGAATGATTTGTTCAAAACTTAACCTTTATTTTTTGCGATAATCCTTTTCTTAATATAATATAATTAGTCCAATTACAAGTAACTACATAAAAATATGACCAATAATGTAAACATACTAATAAAAAAATTAAGGGAATTATCCTAAAAGGATATGTACAATGTCTCTTTAAGCATTAAAAGGACTTAACAAGAGAAAGAGACAGTGTTAGATATTAAAAAGCATCATCGCATTTTCTAAGAATTAGTACAATGACAATTGCGCTAGAAAATGGTTTCTTAGTACAGTCGCCCTTGTTCAAAATGGCTCATTAAAAGAAAATAAATTGAGTTTTAAGTTGAAATTGTATTATCATTATGCATATCACGTTTTATTACGTTGGATGACAATGATCATGATAATTTGTTGTTTGGACGTAATCATTCTTGGAATTATTCCCACTCATCAAAACTATTGCTTTAACTTCAAGAAAGAAACGAAGAAATTAATACCTCTGAGTCGCCCTGTCTAATTCAACTTATCTCGTAATTCGTATACTTGTATGAAATTATATTCCGTATTATATATCTACATTTACTTCATTATAACAAAACATATATTATAAAACTTTTTTTATGAAATAATCTATACTTATTTTATTAGAAGTAAAAAATAATAATTAAAAATAATATAATTTAAGATAAAACAAATGTATCTTAAATTTTTTACTCCCCTAACCCTGTTTGTTATTCTCATTTACAATCTCTTTGTGAGATTAAAAAAAAGTCAAAATTAAAGAACAAAAACGATTAGAGAGACTACTATTTGCAAGGGTAATATATACAACTCCATCTTATATTATTTTTGGCTAGTGATGAGCATACACTTTGACTAACTATTATTTTATTCATTAACAAGCCTTTATAAAACGTAAAGTAAGGGACCACTCAAATTTCAACTTTCACTTATAGTATTTTAATTGGCTGATGAGCATTCAATCTAAACGATGATTTTACAGTAGCGGCCTTTTGAAAAGTAACAACCACAAGTCTTATTACGTGGCATAATATGATTGGATGTAATCTTTGACTTTTCAAAGCATATTTTAATTAGAATTCATTTTTTTTATAATTTCTGATTTTTTTTTTATTTTCGAAAATTATATTTTATAATTGCTGATTTTTTTAATTTCTTAATTAATTTCAGAAAATCAATGTAAAAAAATTAAAATTAAAAAAAATGTTCTCCGTCGTTACTCTGAATTTCAACCGATGATTTGAACAAGGCGGATTCGTGGCGTTGATGCTGCCCACCACCAATAAGATGGTTGTTACGGTAAAGCCGATCGCGACGAGTAGTCGAGCACGCTCCTTCTCAACCTCACATTTACAAGCTTCGACTTCTTCGTCACAGCGTTGAGGGAGATGGTCAGATGGCAAGATGGGTTGTTATGGTGGTGGTGGAAGCGCCATTTAGGGCCGAATTTAGGGCGAGGTGGGGGTTTACAATCGACAAGGCGGAAGGAGGAGTCTTCATCGGCGGCAAAGGAGGGTTATTGAGGTTGCGAGTCCAATCGGCAATTCGGCCGAGTTTGTTGGAGCGAGAAAGAGGGGCGAAGGGGCTGTAGGACGTTGATGGGGATGGTGGTGGTAAATGGTGGTAGATGTCGATTGATTTTTAATATAATTTTAATTTTCTGAAATTAATTAAGAAATTAGAAAAAGAATTTCAGAAATTATAAAATATAATTTTCAAAAATAAATATAATTTCATAAATTACAAAAATGAATTTTAATTAAAATATATTTTGAAAAGTCAAACATTACATGACAAATTATATCCAATAAAATTATGCCACATAATAAGACTTATGGTAGTCACTTTTGAAAAGGCTACCGTAAAATTTTCACAATCTAAAGTACTTAAGAAACGATTTAATAATATTTCAATATAATTTAATATTTGGAAGTTAAGAGTATAATTGTGGTGTTACATAGTTTTTAATTTTTAAAGGTATTATTTTTTGGCGTAACAAGTTAAAGTACTCGGTATGGTATGATCTTTATAGACTTTGTTACATACAAGATGGCCGCCAGAAAATATTAAAGTGTACTTTTAATCATTTATCAAAAGGTATTAGGAATTCATTATAGTTCAAATGATAAACTTTACAAGCTAGGGATGATAGTGGGTCGTGAGTAAAGCTTAATGACTCATTTGCTTGCATGGTAGGTCGGATCGTGAGCAAAGCTTAATGACTCATTTGGTAGGTCGTGAGCAAAGCTGATAAATGAGTTTATTACAATATATAATTGTAATTTTACAAGGAAAATCTTGTAACGGTACCTAAAATCATGATTTCATCTCAAAAAAACTTCATTATAATGATTCAATTAATCAAATCTCAAACTATAAGTGATAATGAAGATTTAGAAAGCAAAATCATACAAAGGGATGAATAGGTCGTGTAGATAAAGTTGTGTCATTAATTAATATGGTTATAGACATTGACATGAGACTTCTTCTAAAGCACCTGCCAAATAAAGATCATATTAATTATTGCAAATACGATCGATATTGGCCTACATGCCTAAAACCTAATGTGCCAATGGCTACATTTGAGGTTATTGTAGGACAATGTAGAGAGGCGAATATTATAACATACACATTAGCTTAGATGTAGCTTAGTCAAGAAGGTTTTATTACAACGTTAAAAGGAACAATAATCTATCTAATTACTTAAGGGTAGTGAATAAACTAAAAAATAAAATAAAATAAAAAATGTGATTTATTTTAATGGCGTAGGAACTTAGGTTAAAGTGATTGGTTTAATTTAATCTAGTAAAATAGTGTAGGCTGATAAGATGCATGCATAAAGGTTGATTGGGAGATTAATTTTAGTTTAACTAAGCTAAGCTTAAAATTATACAAAGAAGAAGAATCACATCCACCCAAAAGGGTCGGCCTCTTCATGTGCACTCTAATTGTTAGGACGGTTGCTAATCATGTGAATGTTTTTTTTTTTATTAAAATTTACAGACTTTTTTCATTTTATTTGGTTGTATTAGCGCAGAAAACCAACATGGAGTTCATCAACAAATTTGGCTTTATTAATATTTTTTTATTACAATTATTAATTATTCAATTAATGTCTTAATGACACATGGTCAGGGAGCTTAATCTAGTTACATACATTACTGGGATTATGGGAGTGGGTTTGGTAATTAGTTATTAATTTATTATAATTTCTTACTTTTGTCATTTTTCTCTTCATTCATTGTAAATTTTTACATCGCACAAAGCATTGTATTGGTCCATTAAGAAATAACAGTGTGATACTGCTATACAACATGGAGTTTTTTCGTTTCTTTATATTATACAATTTCTTATGACGATTTATGTTAGCCCGACCCCAAATTATTTTGGGACTAAGGCTTTATCGTCGTTGTTATTTTTATTTTTAATAATGATAGTCTTTTATTATTATAATATAATAATGATGGTAAAGGACAAAGTTAAGCATATATAGATTTGAATTGTAAACTAAACCTATGTAACCTAGGCCTTAGTTGACATTTTGCAAGTAACAACTACAAGTTGATGATTTTATACTACTATTAGCAGCCAACTTATGAAAGAGCAGTTGTACACTTGTACTTAGTAAGTTAGTATAGCAACTAGTAGAAGCATTGTACATTGTATGTTTTCTAGAACTATTTTATTTGAGAAAGGGCCTTGATATTTTTATGGGTGCCACTAGGGGTGTACAAAAATTGGCCCGGACCTGAAACCGGACCTGAATCGACCTGAACCGGACCTGTTGATTCAGGTCTGGTCCCGGTTCTTAAAAATCCAGGTTCCCGGTCCCGGTCCGGACCCGGTCCAAACCCGGGGTTTTCAGGTCCGGACCTGAAACCCGGGAAAATCGTAATTAAAAAAAAAAAAAAAAAAAAAAGAAGAAAACCAAACTCTGAAAAATTGAAACTGTGTTTTCGTGGACTTATTTGTATTTTCGGTGGACTCATTTGTATTTTTGGTGTTTGAGAATCGGGACTTTATAGACTTTATGTAGTTTTGTAATTGATACTTTTGGTTTGTATGTAATTATTAAATTATGCAACAGGTCTAAAAATCACAAAACAGGTCCATATGCAGGTCCAACAGGTTTTGTATTAAAAAAAAAAACGAAAAAGACATAAAACAGGTACATTCAGGTCCAAACCCGGACCGGACCTGATTTTTCAGGTCTGGCCCGGAACCGGACCTATTAATTCAGGTCCGGTCCCCGGTCCTCATAATTACCCAATTCAGGTCCCCGGTCCAAACAGGTCCGGTCCAGGTCCGGTCCGGTTTTGGACCGGTGTACACCCCTAGGTGCCACTAATAGAGTAATAGGTCAAAGGGAACAA